CATGGGTGTCAATTTTTTTTTAGGTCTTCTCAGTGAACACAGCTGGGAAAAATAGGTATGTATACTATCCTCCCCTTCTAGATCTATTTCTGCATGTATGTATATGAGTATATATCTATTATCCACCCACCCATCCATCCATTCATGCATGCATCCATCCAATCATCTATCCATCTACCTATCCATCCATCCATCCACCCATCCATCTTTTTAAAACTAGGAGCTCATACTAATACTTCCAGTTCCAACACAACACCACAAAGTTCATTTTAATCTTCTCTCTTGCCTATTTGTAACCTCTTTCTGACAGTGAGCAACTTGGCTCTCACTACCATCAATATATTTACTTATTTGTTTAATCTTAGTATACGTATCAAGCAATTTCAGAATCAATAACCCAATATACTCCTGTAAGAAACACATTTACTAACTGGAGTATACCATTTATGATTTTTTTTAACCTTATAGTATTTGATCAAAATACTGTATCCAAAATTACTTATTTTTTTTTCTCTCCACTCCTTTCGATTAGTTATAGTAACTATATAAGCATTTGTATTACAGTTAGGTTCATCTGTTAATGCTTGTATACCATTACAGGTCTTTCCCACATGATGGATGGTTTGAACTGTATGCTTATTTTTGGGTTATGTGTAACAGGACTACGATCCTAATCAGAGCTGTAAAGAGCTGAGCTCAGCCCACTCCTAGTCCACACCTAAATCCTTCCATTTCTAGTTAATTCTTCCTGTCACCTATCCTGTTTTATCTTGTACCAAGACAGATTCATGTTTGGGCTTTGTACTTGACAGAACTCCAGTATATGTCTGACACTAAACTGTTTTCTTTAGTAGCTCCTACTGAGCCCTGATTTCCATGCTATGTCTACAACTTCTTTACATAATGCAACTTGCGCAACCAAAGGCTTTGAGGAAAATCATGGCTTTCCTTAATTGGGCCAGTTCTAAAATTGGAACCAGCAGCCGCTCAGGAAAGTATCTTCTATGTATTTAAAAGCCTAAGCTACCATTCAACCAAACAACTGGAATGACCAGAACAGCTGGTCAACCAGTCACTATGATGAGCACTGACCACCAGGGGGCATATGCTCAACATAGGAGCTGCCCCCCTGGTGGTCAGTGCACTCCCACAGACAACCTCCCTCGGCCCCTCCCCGGGATAGACTTCGATCACCAGCCAGGCTGAGGGACCTCACTCATGCATGAATTCGTGTATTGGGCCTCTAGTTAATTAATAATAGTTAAGTCTATTACTCCTCTTGGATGCAAAAGGCCACAGGTAACTAGAAGTCAACTGGACAGAAATTCTTGAGCAACATTTTCAGATTTCTGTTACACTCCTCCTGCTTATTATTATTATTTTTTTTAAATGTAGCATCTCAAAACAATTTGACATGGGAAATTATTTGTAAATCTCTGAAAAATAGAAGATTGAAAGGATTAAGAGTGGTATAAATATTTGCAATAAAAAAATTACAAGTAAAAGCTGTGGTATTAGTACTCTTGGGCACAGAACAACCTCTTTAATGCTCCAGTTGTTCACTGTCCCTGTAATCAGTACTTGGTTATCAGATTAATGAAGGGAGCCACCAGAGACCAGTGGGTAAACTTAAAGCCAGTTTAAAAAACTATGGGAAGAAAAGCCAAGTGTTTGGCAAGGGAGGAAACTGGCATCTTAGATCATGTACTTGTTTTTATATCCAGAGAACACTTGAATCCAAACCCGAAAAACATACAAACTTCAGGATGAGCGTAATGTGGATGTGGAAGTCACACACCATGACGTTTCCAAGAGAATAATTGAAGGTTTGACAAATTCTGCAGTAAAGATAGGCCTATCCATATATGAAGTGTCTCCAGTCACTGAAACCTTGTTTTACCCTGACAATTAGACCACCTACTGATGTGAGGGTGTACAGGTAGGATTATGGGCTTGAGGAATATGGAAACAGTTATGGGTAACCTCATAATTTTTTCATTTATTTTATAAGTGGATCCAGAGTCACAGTCTATGTTAATCCAAGAAATATTCTGACAATTCAGAGGACTTCAGTAGCATATTAGAAGCAGGGGCATCTAAGTCAAGACAGACTCAAGGATGACTCCTGGCCTGGCCACCGCCATCTGTGTATCACTGGGTTGGAGAGCCTCCTAAGCCTTTATTTCATCTCCCATGGTCACAGTCATATCAACGCATCGGTGTGTGAGCTTTAAACTCAACGTGAAGCACTCAGCAGTGCCCAGCACAAAGCAGGCACACCATTGGTAAGCACAGCCCAGTAGCTAAGGGTGAGGACTCTGGATCCAGCCGCCACTGCTGGGATGCTTGCTCGGCCACACATTACCATGTGATCTTTGAAAAGTTACTTGTCCTCTCTAAGCTGCTGGAACAGGGTCAGACTTATCGCACTCTAAAATATTAGGGAGGATGACTAACTAGGACTGTTCAGTCAGCCCAGGAGAACAGGGGGAGAGCCCGGTGGTGGAAGCAAACCAGTACACAGAGCACCAAGCTGGTGCAGGGCTTGGGAAAGATGTGTTGGCAGCACAGGTCAATAGCTGACTCCACAGAGGCTGACCCCACCCATCTGTCCACGGTGTGTCAAAATCGAAGCTGAAGTCAGGAGGACAAGAGTGAGCACACCTACAGGAAACCTATGACAGCCACTGGGCTGCAAGGAACAAAGAACTCTTGCTCGTGTGCTATGCAAACCCTACTCTGCAGTCACTCTGCTAAACAATCCTTGGTTCCAGAGAGAACACATGTTTGTGGTGAGCGCGATGCTAAACTCTAGCGTTCTGGGTGCCCGCTCCCTTCTCTGCATTCATTCATTCTCTGGCATATTTATTTAAACAGCGCATCTTCCATAAATGCCACATTCCACCTCATGACAAAAGTCAATAGAAAGAAAACAAATGAGCTGTTCTGTCCTATTTCTAAACATTTTGATAAACTATCACCTCTCACTGTATTGACACTGCTTCACAGAAAAAAGCTATTTGTACCTTATGCCACTTACACTCATATGAACTTTCTGGAATTTTTTTTTCCAGGCACAGCTGTCTCGCTCATCCTCTTTATTCCCTCTTAAACTTAAAGAAACAACTGGATAGGAAGGAGAGGTATCCCAGGTTTTCGAGTGCAGAAATATTAATACCTCCAGGTCCATGTCCTCTCATTCTCCATTCAAGGATCTTCTGAAAGCTCCGTTTCCTTAAAACTCATATGGAAGCAAAACTTAATCTGAACTGACCCAAACATGTAGATTTGAAAATGTGAACATCACACCAGGTCACAATACACTGCTCGAAACCCCACTAAGGGCTCTGATTGGAATGTGCACTATTTTATTCTCCTAAAATCTGTATCACTGGTCCAAAACTCCTACATTTTTCACTGAACTGAAACAGGCCCCAAGATTTTAGACTCAGGATTGTGGACCTCTAGGAATTCATGATGCTGTTATGTTCCAAACACAGCTTTGTGAAAATAGCTGGTGAGGAAGATAATGCTAGTTTTCTTTAAACCACTTCTTTTTTTTTTTTTTTTTTAATATATTTTATTGTTTTTGTACAGAGAGGAAGGGAGAGAGATAGAGAGCTAGAAACATCGATGAGAGAGAGTCATCGATCAGCTGCCTCTTGCACACCCCCCCACTGGGGATATGCCCGCAACCAAGGTACATGCGCTTGACCAGATTCGAACCCAGGTCCCTTCAGTCCCCAAGTCGACGCTCTATCCATTGAGCCAAACCGGTTTCGGCTAAACCACTTCTTTTAAAACCAGAACTTGGCTGGACCTTCATGTTGCTGATCTCATGATTTAAAATGGGCAAGAGTCACTCAGAAACTTCACCCCAAATTTTGTCCGCCCCTCAAGAGACTGCAGGGTAACTCATAGCATCCAGAGATTGCAGAAAACACCCAGAGATTCAGCACATACATGAGCAGATACACGGGGCACACATGGGGCCACCAAGAACATGCATGTTCCTTTTTAGGGGGCACAAGCTAGTGGGAGCAATTCAGTTGGAAGCCTGGCCTGCTCAGGACCCTGTAAGGCATGGGTTTAAATTCCTGCCCCATCCACTTGCAAGGCACCCAGTGTGGGCAAGTTTATCGTCTCGCTAGACTTGAGTTTCCCATGGTTAAATCAGGAGAATACCACCTCCCATTAAGTACTGGACTGAAACTAAACAATGCACCTAATCCACAGGAATGCAGGTAGCTGCTTTCCACACTCTTTCTACATGTTCTTTCCTCCTCTGAGGGAGACACCACCTAGCGGCAAGTTGAAAGGTAGAAAGCTCAGCGATCATGTTCTTCCATGTGGACAAGCTCATAAGCATTTCTGGTGCATGTCTATGTATTATAAGGGGGGAGGCAATAGATTGATACTGAGGTCTTTGAACCAAACTTGACATCAGAACCTCCAAGGGAAACAGTTCATTAACAGAGACGGGGGAATGCAGGGACACCAGCTGTAATGCAGGGAGAGGAGCTGTCCAGGACCTGGAGGGGCTGGGGACAGAGATGTTGTTTAGGGACACCTGGGTGTGGCTGTGCTGATTCTCGATTTGGCTGAAGAACTGGGAAAGCCCAGATGCATGTGGACCTTTTCACAATCAATAGTTCTCTCCCCTGGCTGTGCAGAACACCAGGCCCACCCTAGATTCAGCTAGTATGGCATTTTCAAGGTCTCCAAGCTGCTGCCCACAGATTGAGGGCATATGCTCAGATGCAGTCAGGGAGGGCGTGTTCTAGATACCTCTTTCCTTGACAGGCTGAGAACACAAATACCTGGAGCCACTCCCCCTTCTCCCCCTCCACCAGCTGTTGATTAGAAAAGGAAAAATACACAGCAGGGCCCCCAAACCGCCCAGGAGTTATCAGAAGCACAGGGCAGAGAACAAACATTAATGTGTAACTGAATAATGGTTACGTGTGCCACATGTCCGAGATTCACCAGCACTCTCCTACCTGGGCTCGGCCTCCCACTCCTCGTCGTCCTTGTCTTTTTCTTCTTTGGTGTCTCCAGAATGTGGGTGTTTCTGTACGATTCGCATTCCACCAGCTTTCACTAGAAAGAAAACAAAGAGGGTGTGGTCAGTGTGGAAACAAAACCCCAGGAGGATCAGAGGAACCAGCTCCGAAGTTTTTAGTTGCTCCATGGCCACAAGTCAGTACAGATAACCTGGCATCAGTGGCGGTGATTAACAGAAAGTCAGTGCTGGTGGGGGAAGAGTCACTATGACAGAGCACTCAGCCTGGCCACACTACAGATCCACCTAGAATCTCCCCATGGCGCCTGTTTGCTTCTGGTCTCATAAGTATTTCATAAGAGCAGTAGTGTAACCAGAGTATGGATCATTGGGCAGTGGCTGTTGCTTTAGGTCCTGCATGTCTTCTTGACACTACAAGATCCTCCTGAATCCCTGCCCTATGATACTTGCTCAAATAATGATGATGCTTAAAAAAAAAAATTCTGAATAGTCTTGCATTAGTTTTTATTTTTCAATTATAGTTGACATACAATATGATATTAGTTTCAGGTGTACATCATATGAATCAACATTTACAAACCTTACACAAAGTGATCCCCCTGGTAAGTCTAGTACTCATCTGTCACTGTAGTTATTACAGTATCATTGACTATATTCTCTATGTTGTACTTTACATCCCATGACTTATTTTATAACTGGAATTTTGTATTGTACTTCTTGATCCCCTCCCCCTTTCCTCTCATCCTTTCACCCTCTCCCCTTTAGCAAATATCAGTTTGTTCTCTGTTTCTATGGGTTTATTTCTGTTTCATTTTGTTTGTTAGATTCCACCTATAAGTGAAACCATACAACATTTGTTTCCATGATGCTTCCGATGGGTGACACAGCTGCAGGTGACCCGGGACAGCTGCTGCCACATTCACGGAGGCTGCTTAGGTGGCAGCCAAGGAGACTGCTAAAGCCCTTTCCAGACTGTGCTGTGAAACCGAGTGCTGGTGGATGTCATTAGTTTTTCAAAGCAGCTTGACATATAATTCACATAACAATATAATTCACCCATTTAGAACGTACAACTCAATGGTGTTTGAGTGTATGTATTCTGAGTTGTACAACCATTGACAGGATCAACTTGAGGACACTTCATCTCCCCAAACAGAAACCCCAAATCACAAATGGTCACCCCCTACCGTCCTCTCCCCCAGCAACCAGCCATCTGGATTTGCCTATTCTGGACATCTGACATCAATGGAATCATAAAATGTGTGGCCTTTGCTGACTGGCTTCTTTCACTCAGCATAATGTTTTCAAGGATCATCCATGTTGTAGCATGTGTCAGTATTCATTCTTTTTTATGATTGAATAATATTCCTTGCTTGGGTAGACCACATTTAGTTCATCAAATCATCTGCAGATTGACATTTGGTTGTTTCTACATTGGCTGTTATAATAAATGATGCAGCCATGAACAACTTGTGTACAAGGTTCTGTGCAGATACATGAACATACACCTTCATTTTCTTAGGTATACAACTAATAGTAGGATGGCTGGGTTATAGAATAATAATATATTTACAATTTTGAGGAACTCTTAAGCATCATTTTCTATTCTAACCAGTTTGAGGGCTCCAATTTCTCCACATGCTCACCTATCTTTTCAGTCATAGCCACCCTAGTGGGTCTGAAGTGATATCTTATTGTGGTTTTATTTCCATTTCTCAATGGCTAATATATTACAATCCAAAACAAAAAATGTGGACTCTAGGATCTGTTAAGTGTGGGAAATGCTAGGCTGAATAGCATTAAATGGGTTTCTTCAAGCCAGATGTCTTGCCCCCTAGTGTGCATTATGAAGCTCTATGAGGCGCACAGTGTGCTGTCTTTCCCAAATGCCTCTGACCACTGAACTTTTATCCCGAGTAATCATCCTTCAGGCATATAGTGTCCCACAGGATAGTTTGGAAATGCTGGCCCTGTTTCAAAGAGCCAGCCTTACGTGTCACGAGGTCGGGCTTTGTACCAGTAAGCTCCTCCATGTCCTCACCTATGCGGTCTCAGACTCTGCCCCTAAAAGCGTCGCTGTTGCATCTGCAGAATGGGGATTAGAGCAACATCCTACAATCTACACGTGTGAATGAGAAGAGGGCTGTTGAAATCCTGATCCACCATGTGATGGTGTTTACAGGTGATTAGGTCATGAGAGTAGCAGACAAAAAACTTAAAAACTGTAACTCACAGATGTTTTCTAGAGACCAAAAGTGAAAAGGGCTGTGCAAGTGACGACAAAGAAAACAAGGCATGTCCAGGTGACATTTAAAACAACCGTCAGCCGAAACCGGTTTGGCTCAGTGGACAAGAGCGCGTCGGCCTGAGGACTGAAAGGTCCCAGGTTTGATTTTGGTCAAGGGGACGTACCTTGGTTGAGGGCACATCCCCGGTAGGGGTGTGCAAGAGGCAGCTGATCGATGACTCTCTCTTATCGATGTTTCTATCTGTCTATCCCTCTCTTTTCCTCTCTGTAAAAAATCAATAAAATATATTTAAAAATAAAAATAAAACAACCATCAGCTGAAGCTCACACAGAGTGGCCTGTCCACCCCTCCGTTGAAGTAAGTCCACATGACAAAGCTTGGTTGCTCTGCATTAGCCCTTCCTTTAACTTAGTTTATAAAAACAATTAACTTCACCCATCCCTCACAGTATGTGTGATAGCAAATGCAGCCATAAAAAGTGGCAATAAAAATAATAACTCAGGGCTGAGACAGATTCATTTTAACTTGAAATCCTGCCAAAAATATGACAGCATGTATTTATTGGGATTGTTTTATCACTGCTACTAGAGCTCTTCATTTGTGAAAATACAAAAGCAGAATTATTTTTGCAGACATCTTTGTGGAATATTTGCAAATATAAGTAGTTTTATGAAAGGCGTTAGAAAAAAATCCTAGATTTTTGTTGAGGTTGTTATTCAAATGAGAGCTTCAGACTTGAAGAATAAGAAGCTTCCTCCTAGCAGAAGTGCCAGGCAGAGGTGAAGGACATGGATCCTCGAGCCAGACTCCTGAGCTCAGGTCTCCGCTCTGCCCATGTGCTCGCGTGCGTGTCTGGGCGAGCTGCTAACCCTATCTGTGCCACAGGGTCCCCTGTGCGTGAAGAAAGGGTGCCAACGCTCTTCCCCTGCTCCCCAGGGGCTCTTTGAGGCCCGAATGAGCAAACACTTGTGACCCAGTGCCAAAGGGGCCTGGCACACGGCAAAGGTCCACCTGTCATCTACTCTCATTAGATGGGTTTAACAACTGGCATCTAGTACTTGGAGAGAACTTCAGACTTTGAGTCCTGGGTTTGTCATTGTCTCCTCACTGAGACAATGTCTCCTCCTTTATGTAAAATGCAGATGCTACCACGGCTCGTGGGGTTGTGAAGGAGTAACACCCTGCAGACTGCTCCCCACACGGCTCCCCCGCCCCCCCCCCCCCCCCCCCCCCCCCCAGGATGGCATCAGTGCACCAGCGCAATAAAGAAGCTTCTGGAGAATCGCACATCCTGGATAACTAACTTGGTTGCTCTCACCTCGCTGTGTGCCAGGCAGTGTTCTAGCCATTGGCCACATGTCCTCACACTTTACAGTAACCTAGGTTGTAGGTCCCCAGACGTGAAGTGGCCCAGTCCCTCAGCCAGGATCGCAGAGCTGACTGGACCCCAGCAGCCTGTGCCCTGAACCCCTCCCCGCAGGCCTTTCCTCCTCAGACCATCCAGGAAACAGAGTATCATTGCTCCTCAGAGAAACACAAAGCGCTGGCCTGTGGGCAGGTTCTGGGCCCGCTGCAGCCCAGGGGGGGTGGACTTGCCTTTGATGTTAAAAGTTCTCTGTGGAGCAGCTTCCTGCCCAAGGGGCAAAGGGGGTGAGGGACGCTGCTCCTCAGTCAGACTTGGCCAGGTAAGAAATAACGAGGAAGCAACTGACCACATACACTCCCATGGCCGGGCAGCCCCTCGGGTGTCCAGATGCCTGCTGGGAGAGGGAGTCACCGACAGCTCGCTTTCTACTCCTGCTCAACAGGCTGGAAGGCCCAGCACCGGAAGACAGGCCGGGGGATGGATGAGAGGGGTCTGCCCAGGGCCTCTCACGACTGTAAGTGCCCCATGAACCGGGGTGTGGGTTTTAGCAGGGACCGGGAGGGCTAATTCACACAAATGTCCCTAAAGCACTGACTCAGGCGCTAGAGCTAGACCTCCAAGCGTATGTCATCTTCGTTCTTCCTGAGAGAGCTACTGGAATGTTATTCAAAGGAAAGCCTTAGAAATGCCACGGTCCACCCTGAATTGGGATTTTTTGGAAAAAATGCAGTGACTAAAAGGGTCTCCTTTTTCTTGGCATGGCCAGAGCGAAGGCAGACCTCCTTGAGGCATCTTCAGGCACTGATCAGTGATTGGGCCAAGGACACCCAGGGCATGCTTGGCAAGCCTGTGGCCATAGAGTTAATACAATAAAAAACTTACTAGCCGTCCATTTCCAGCACTAGAGTGGCCTGGAGAACATAAAAACCTTTCTGCAGAAGACAATTCAGGGAGAACCTCACCCATAACCTTTTAAATGCACCTTTAACTCCTGTCTGATTAATATAACAAAGAATTGGATTATTTTGAAATCACTACAAAGAGTAAAGTGATCTATTTCTCATTTTACTTTCAATAAATACAATTGTTTTCTACTTCCATTTGACTCAGGTCTAGAAGGGATATGAGGCCTTTTTATAACCTTATGTGAACTATTAATGTTCAACAAACACTGTTACATATCAGGTTTATGAGAATTTTACTGACATATGGCTTTGGCTCCCCTCGCAAATGGAGAGGACCGGGGCCAGCAAAATGCATTTAACAATGAGATGTCAGCCACATCACTGCCACCAACTCCTGAAGACTGGGTGAAATGAGTAATCACTAGGCTTATAATTATGTCTACCTTCTGCTGAGGCAGCCTCGGACTGGTGGATGGTCAGACCTCACTAATCTTCACTCTGCCAATCTGCATTGGCAGTAGCTCTCCTAGAACAGCAGCCTCCCGCCACTCTCTGCAGATGTTCTGTAGTGGAGAGGTCTGAAACCATCCAGACGGGATTACTTCCACAGGGCACAGCCAGGGCGGAGCAGCACCATCCCCACTGTCCAGTGGCGTGCTCTGTATGTGCACAGCGCCTTCCCTCCACACTGCAGAAGCCTGTGCCCACGGCCTCATTAATCTCACACCCGGGCAGAGACGCAGGGCGTGTGATGGAGCCCCTTGTTGCGAAGGGCTGCCGAGGTTCCTAGAGGCAAAGGACCTACAGGCTGGTCCGCCTGAACTCACCGGCTTCGGCTTCGAAAGGAGACACTCCAAATGGTTGGCCAGTTTTTAGAACGTAAGGTAACTGTCAGTTAAATGAGTGAACAAGAGGCCAGGGCTTAAAACAGTGCCAGTCAAGGGAAGCAGAATACACCACCATGAAATATGCCTCTTTGGTAGAAGGGTCATTTTGAGCTGATTAAAATCAGCAGAGAAGGAGAAGCACAGAAAACCGAGAGCTATCCTTTTGTAAGGGATATTTACATTAGTGATGGAAATTTCCCTTTGTATCTCTCTCTCTGTACTAGAAAGGGAAGCAGGACTAAATCACAAGAGAACCTGAAATCTATATAACAACCTTACCCTGGTTTACCTGGCTTTTCCGGAAACCTCCCATAACTGGCTCCCTACTCCTCAATTTCTATTTATCTTTATTTTTTTTATTGTTAATTATCACCCAAGGATATTTTCCCACTGATTTTTAGAAAAAGTGGAAAGGACAGGGAGAGAGAGAAACATCGATTGGCTGCCTCCCGTATACATCCTGACCAGGGCGGGGGATTGAGCCTGCAACTGAGGTATATGCCCTTGACCAGGATCAAAGCCAGGACCCTTCAGTTCACAGGCTGACGCTCTATCCACTGAGCCAAATTGGCTAGGGCCCCAATTTTTTCTTTTGTCTTTAGCTGAAGTTGGTATTTATGGTGGTGGCTTGGGCCATTTCAGGGAATTACTCCGTTTTCTTGGGACTCTCCCATGTATAGAGGAGGTATTCCTGTTAATAAACTTCAGTTTGGTTTTCTCTTATTAATCTGTCTTTATCACAGGGGATGGGGAGAGGTGTCGCGGCCAGGAACCTAGAAGAGTAGAGGGAAAATTATTTTCTCTCCCCTGTATCAGGTACACCTGATACTCAGCAAACGTTGTTACTACTTGCACTTATGATGCTATCTGGACTGGATGAGAGTCTCAGTGCACACAGGAGACAGCGCAGAGGTAGAGAACACTGCAGGCCCCGCATGCTCTGGGGAAGTGACAGGTGCTAAGAGGTTATGAAGAAACTCACTCAGAAGCCACTTACTGCATATTTTTGTGCCAGGCACTGTGCCAGCTCCTGAGGAAGAAGATATCACCAAGACCCAACCCCGGAAGCAAGAAGAGAGGCAGACAGGTGGAGGTAAACGTGACAGGAAACAGGTAATTTTGTGAGAATGCCCTGGATACCTGGTTCAGACAGCAACAACGAGAAAACACAAAAGAACATGAAGACAGTCATGAAAAATAATTTTATTGTTTCTGATTGAGGATTTAAGCACAAGTCTGTGTTATCCAATGTAAGCACTTAATGAAAGTGTACCCAAAGTTATCAAGGCTGTTATTTTTGATTTATGAACTGTGCTCTTGGCTATACTTGATAATTACCTTTATTATAATGAGCTGCCGTTATGTTTGTTTTCACCATCAACTCTGCAGTATGTCCTATTCTCTGGCCACGCCAGAGTAAATAAGGATATCCAAATACCCCCAGCTTTTTGCTAAAAAGAGCTCTCCCACAGGAAAGTGGATCTGAGGCAAAATGCTGCACATGACAAAACCTATACCTCTGGACCAAGATGCCAGGTCTACCTCTAACTCTGGGCAAATACGGCCCTGGAAAATGGGGAAATGCCAGCAACAGTTCTCTAAGCAGTTCCTGTGAGGCTGGGACCCCAAAGGCTAAAGGATCTTCCTTGAAGTCACTTCAAGAGGTTGTCTGTGGGATTAACTGCCCTTGAACTTGGATTCTGATGACTGGAAGGGGGAGCTCCAGTGAGAGTTACAGACAAAAGTAGCTCTGCTCTACGACGCTCCCAAACCTCCCATTTCATAGATTAGAAAAGCCGAGCCGCCGTAGAGAAGCGATGGGTCTCAAAACTTAGAACTCAAGTTCACTGCTACACCAGCACAAATGAGGTGGCTCCTCCTCTCTCCTTTAGGATAAACTATCTAATTTGTAATTCACAAAGCTCAGCTGTTTAGAATTCGAAGAAAACCAAAGCCTTTCATGGAATTTCCCCAGGGAGTTAATAAGCACAGCTCCCGTCTGTGATCTTAAAAGTCTCCACGTGGAAATGCCTCCATGTGCAATTTAGTTACTCCTACCTTGATTGGGTCTCACTCCGACTTAGGAGCTTTTCTGCCACTCCCTGCCCTGGGACGGGGGAGTGTAAAGAAAGGAGTTCCGGCCTGCGGTGCTGCCAGGTCATCAGGCAGCCAGCAGATGGGCGTGGGCCCACTGTGGTAGACACTAATGGTCAGGTTATCTTTACAAGAAATCTCTTTGAGGTGCTTTTGATTATTATTACTTTTTTAAACGAATGCCACACAATGGCCCCCAAAGCCCATTTTGCACGACAGCGGAACTCCTTTCTAAAATCCCAGGCCCGTTAAGTCGTTAAGTCGCAGGCCTCGGTTAGCCACTTCCCCTCCCTAGTCCGGGGTAGTTTTCGGTGGTTGTTGAGAGCTTCTTTCAGCTGGGCAAATATTAGCTTGGGGGCGGCTCTATTCACTACCCTGGGGGGCGGCGGGCGGAGATCACGGGAGTCTTTACAAGAAGAAGGTGAGACACATGGGCCCCACAGAGCAGCCAATGCTCCCCGGGGCTTCTGTCTTTAGGAGACGGAGTTTACAACGCAAATGTGTGCAATTAACACCCTAAGAGCACCCACAGGTGGGGGAGGGGGCCTGGCCTCTGGGACCCAGGGTCCTCCCACCTGCAGGGGCTGTCACCCCAAAGGTGAGCAGACGCGGAAACGGAGCAGCTGGGACAGCGGACTGGGGTGAGAACCGTCCTGGGGTGGGAAGGCGCGTGAGCATACGGGGAGCTCAGATTCAGATGTTCCATGCAAGTCCTTCCTGGACTTCACTTCCTTGGCCCAGAATTTGGAATTTGAAAACACAAACAAACAAGAAAGCACTCCAAAACACCCCACTTTGGAGAAAAAGCTGAATGTGAAAGAAATTGGGGGACCCCTTCATATTGAGTGATTAATGGTAAAAATGATTTCCACTCCTTTGATTCATTTTTCAGCATGAAGAGCCGTCAACCGACAATCACCCCCTTGTCATGAAAAACATGAACTTTTGCGCCTGCTACCCGGTTTTCCGAAACATCTGGACACTCTGCGTTCACCGCCCCGTTATTATTATTTTTTTCGGAAGTTGTGCAATTGGGCTTATTCAAGACATTCAAAATTTGCATGCAACGGCCACGGGCTTGCGATGGTTCCCCAACTTTCAAGAAAAGGGTTTTGCCAAACGCGGGGTTCAGTTCAACCGAAGACGCCACGACTGGGCAGGTCCCAGGCTGGTGAGCAGCCTGCGCGCCCCGCGCCCCGCGCCCGCGGGTTCGAGCCAGCTGTCGGGGCCCAGGACGGGAGGGAAAGAGGAAAGGAGTCATTACCAGCGGGCGGGTGTCCGGCTTTCGTCTCTGGCTTCTCCTCGGGAGGCGAAGACATGGTGCGGCCGGAGCGGCTGGGAAGGCGGCGGGGATGCTGGCAGCTCGGAGGTCCGGAAGGCGTGCGCACGAGCCGGAGCGAGTTAGCGGCGCGCGGGGGGTGTCGGGGCCGCGCGCGGGAGGGCGGACCGCGGCCGCCGTCGGGGGGCGCGGCCGCCGCGCGCCGACGTGGCGCTGCCTGGCCCGCGCGCGGCTGCGTGTTGACGTCACCGCGCCCGCCCCGCCCCGCCGGCCTCGGAGCGCCCAGTGTACTGAGCATGCGCAGTCTGCAGCGCCACGTCGGAACCTTTAGCTGCAGGCGGAGGAGGGGATCGAGGGCGGGGCGGGGCGTGTGCGGTTGGGGCCGGAGGTTGAGAAGGCCCAGCTTGAGGTTGGCTGCTTCACCAGCCCCGCTGGGTAGAGGGTGACAGCGGTGGAAGTGGAGCCATCACAGGGCCGCTCCAGGCCTGGGGAGTGTGGTCAGGGGACCGCCTGCCAGATGTCCTGGCGCAGCTCACCCTTGGATGACTAATCAGGTGGGAGTGAGACCCAGGCCCAGGATAGCAGGGGTTTGTTAAAAACAGAGAGGGCAGTGCTCTGAAGCCAGGACAGAGGTCTCGAGGGCTGTGTCTGTGCCCACTCCCTTGCCATCTTTCTGTTGCCAGGGATGATGATCCTGTCCAAAGTGGACCTTTTGGTCTTGTGATCTGGTTTGCATACCGTTCGCCTTCTCAAGCACTTGGCGATGCCGGTTATCCTTTCCCTGAACCAGGCTCGTCTTACTGGATAGAGTTTAAACATGCCTCATGTCTTTAGAAAAGGAAACACTGCTACCTCTCTTGGCTGGACCTTTAACAGTACATGTGCCCAAAGAGGTTGGGCACCTCACTCGTCTCCTTCTCTCCCTCCTACCCTCCCTCCCCCTCCACACACACACACAACCTAGTCCAGTCCTTCTGGCTATCATCCAGGTAGCTAGACAGAGGCTGGCCCCAACCACAGAAATCTCTGTTGTCAAGGTTGCTCATGATCTCCAAGCTGCCCAATCCCCTGGGCACCCTTCCACTCTCATCCTACTCCACCTCAGCAGCGTTTGACCTAGCTGACTATCCCCCTTCTTCGTTTCTGGGATGCCACATAACTACCTCAGCACCCAGTGTTGGAGCAACCTTGGCTGCTAAATCTCAGTAGGGTTGGCTGGCTCCTGTTTTAGATTTCTAAATCTTTGAGTATCCCAAGGCTCAACACCAGCCCTCTTCTCTATCTAGACTTTGTCTCAGTGGTCACATGCAGACCCAGGGTATATGACTATCATCTAAACCCTTATGGATGCCAAATCTGCAAACCTATTTCTCTATTCCTGCCTCTCCCCTATGCTCCAGACTCACTCTATCCTGCCTCCTTGTCCTCTTTACCTGTATGTCTAACTACTCTGCATCATAGTGCACAGAGAAATGAACATACCATATGTTGATCTTGGACTTTCCCTCTCACATCCTATATAATAAAAGGCTAAAATGAAAATCGACCAAACAGCAGAACTACCAGTCCCTATGACATGCACTGACTACCGTGTTTCCCCGAAAATAAGACATCTTCTGAAAATAAGACCTACCTACAGGTTTCCTTCTGAGTGAAATATAAGGCATCCCCTCCTAAAATAAGCCCTCCCCCGCCGGCTCTGTCTCACAATGCTATTGCTAAATATGAGAGATTTGGTCCACTGATTCTGAAAGAAATGGAGTCACAAGAAATTCACCAGGAAATTCAGGAATTGGATTGTTATGATGATGTTCCAGAAGATGATGACATGATTGTCATTGAATTAATGAGTAAATTCTTGATACTGTAGGATTCACAGTTTGTCTGGTTTGTGTTGACAACTACTGTACTACAGTACCGAATACAGGTAATAAATTTTCTTTATTTTCATTTAACAATAAATATGTACCATATTCTTCTTCATGGAAAAATAAGACATCCCCTGAAAATAAGACCTAGTGCATCTTTGGGAGCAAAAATTAATATAAGACACTGGAAACAGGGTACCAGAGGACAGATGCTCAATGCAGAAGCTCCCACAGAGGGAGCTCCGCTCAGCCAGAAGCTGGGTTCATGGCTGGCTAGCACAGTAGTGGTGGTGAGTCCCTTTCCCATCTCCATGGCAGTGCTAAGGATGTCCGACTGATGGCTTAGGCCAGCTCTGTATGGGGAGCGGGCCTAAACCATCACTTGGACATCCCCTGAGGGCTTCCAGATTTCAAGAGGGTGCAGTCTGAGCTGAGGGACACCCTCCCCCTCCGAGTGCACTTATTTTGTGTAATGGGCCTCTAGTTTAAATATAACTAATAACAGGATAGCTTTTAGCTAGGTTACAGTAATAATAATAGTCATCATTATTATTCATCAAATCATCAAAGAAGATTTATAGATACCGACCTGGATTCTGAATGGAAAGAGTTTTAAGAATACCTAATCAATCTTACAAATATTTTTAATGTATGTGTAATAGTACTGTATGGTTAAAAAGTCATGTCTTAATAAGTCTAAAACTATTTCTAAGAAGTATAAAATAAAAATTATATGTTAAAAAACATTGTTTTTGTTTATTTGGCAGTATTTCCCCCCCAGTGGTACATAAAGCTGCATATTATGCTTGATGGCATCTTCTATTTAATGGCATATGGTATCTCTAGGGAATATTGGGATAAAAGAAGGATCGTTGGGAGGAAGGAGCCAAGCTAATCAAAGGCCCCAATAGCCCCAAACACCACTGGGATCCCCTAAGGCATGAGAGAACCCATATCTTTGCCTGAGATCTGGTCTGGAGCTACAGTGATGGGGACCCTGGTGTAAGAGCCATGTTTAGTTTTACAAGTTCAAAGCAGAACTCCTCATTCACCCACCAACCCACAGATACTTCCCACCTGGAATAAAATTCCACACTTCTCATTACAGCGTGGAGCATCTGTCTAATTAACATTCCTACTGAAGAAAATACTGTTGTTTAAGGAACATAGCTGGAAAAAAACACACCCATATTTCCAAGTCTCCCTGCCCAGCTTTCCCACTGTATTCCCAGCAATCAAAACCAGAGTAGGCCCTGACTGGTTTGGCTCAGTGGATAGAGCGTTGGCCTGCAGACTTAAGGGCCCCAGTTCAATTCTGGTCAAGGGCATATACCTTGTTTGCGGGCACATCCCAGTAGGGGGTGTGCAGGAGACAGCTGATTGATGTTTCTCTTTCATCAGTGTTTCCAACTCTCTATCCTTCTCTCTTCTTCTCTGTAAAAAAAATAAATAAAATATATTAACAAACAAACACCAGAGTGGGCACAGAAGAAACATTCAGTAGATATTCTCCCCCATAATTATGGAGTACAGGTACATTTAATTTCTTACCACTGTTACCTAATGGAGGAGCTGCAAGTAAGAACAGAGAATAAAAAATACAGTACAAAGTATATAGATAGCATTAATATAGGAGGCCACTAGTCATTGTGCGCATGTTTGTGTGTGTATGCATGTGTGTGTGTGTGTGTGTGTGTGTGGGTGTGTGTATGCACGTGGATGTGTCCTAGATGCTGAGGATAAATGTCAGTTACCACCCAATGGAAACTTTCTATGTGGACGTGCACACTCAATAGATATTATCAGAATTGCTGAGTGGATAATCTTATTTGAAGCTTACTATAACTGAAAGTAAGGCAGAGTAACTCATTTTACCAAGAAAAACAAAAGCTTGTTGGACTTATGAGGGACACAACTTCTGGATCCAGAAGACGGGTTTCAAGGCCCAACCCCATGTTCCCCACTGCTGGCTGCCTTCTGAGTAGAATTTTGGGAGATGCTTCCCCTTCTCTATGGAGACTGTTTTCTAACCCCAAGTAATTCTGAATCTAAGCTACTACTTAATGTGAATGCTATAAGCACTGGAAAAAGTACTCAAAGAATAAGCAGAAAATGCAGATTCTCTTTTCCATGTGTATATTTCATAACCTTGGCTACAACACTGAAACTTTCTGAGCCTCAGTTTCCTTCTCCAACTTCCTTCAGGGATGCTGTTAGAATTCAAGACTAAGTGTCGAATACAAGCTTGTCTGCAACATCCCATTGACTCCCCACAAGATCCCTTTATCAATAGGAGGGTTTTTCTCCTGCCACTCCCCCACCCCCAATGGAGGAATGGAGCCTGTGAGCCCAGGGCTTAGTAGCCCCTGTGGGGAGACCAGAGAGAACCAGCCCTCTCCATGGCCCTGGATGCACATTCGGAAGTGCTCTGTAAACCATAATATACTATAGAATGTACTGTTCTTACTGCAAAGGGAGTTTTCATCAACATTCACGAAATACACACATTGATCTGTGGCTTATAAAAATAACCCCACCTGTCAACCAGTTTGATGAACATTGCTTTTTTATTCCAGGCTGACCCATATGTTCTGTTCTCTTGGTCTTAATCCTCACCTGAGAATATTTTCCCATTGATTTTTAGAGAGAGTGGAAAGGAGAGAGAGAGACAGATAGAAACATTAATGTTAGAGAAACACATTGATTGGTTGTCTAGACACATGGGCCCCAATTAGAGCCGGAGATTCAACTGTAACTGGTATGTGCCCTTGACTGGAATTGAACCCGATACCCTTCAGTCCTTGGGCTGATGATCTATCCACTGATGCAAAGCATTTTTTAAAAGTAATTCCATACCTCATAATGGACATGAGGGTCAAGTTTGGTCACATAGATCAGTTATCCTTTAGCTAAGGGATATAACCTTTGCTAGAAAAATGTAACCAGCCTTAATTGTGGCAAAATAGTCTTCTTGTCTTTATTTGGAAGTTAGAAACGGCAAAAAAAAAAAAAAAAAAAAAAAAAAAAAAAAAAGACTACTTACCGTATTTTTTACAGAATTACAAATGCTCTGTAAATTATTTATGACAAAATGTGCTTTCGCAGAGAAATGGGGGTGGGGTACGGATTGTTTGATTTCTGGCTCTTTTGCTGAGTCATTAGTGGACCTGGTGCAGGCTACTTCCACCTCGGATTATAGTTCTATGGTGGAGGCAATGATACCAGTCATACATGGGATTCAAGTAGTTATTCAATATTATGTCTTAGCATTTATCTCCTTGTATAAAATTTCTTG